AGATTGCCTCGGAAACAGCGTCAGCATGAATCTTCCAGTAAAGCCAATCGACAGTTGGTCAAGAGGAATTAGCCGTCGTCTTCTGGTTGAACCGACCTTCGAATCTCTTCACCCAACACTTTCATTCAAAATGGTAGTAAGCTCAACAATTATGAAACAAGAGATTCCTCGAAACCCAACTTTTCTTTGCATAGCTTTTAATTCCAAGACGTATTTACATCCAAGATAAAATTACCATCTATATGTATAATCGACAATTTTTGGCGTCCTGTGACACAAGAGTACTAGTGGCAGTGTAATGTAGAGGCTAATGTGCCCAGGCTCGAGTCCCATTAGGAATTCGGATGATATCCAGGTGAAATAAAAACTGCAGTCCACCCAAGATGATAATACCTTTTAGAAAGCAGGACTATGTAAATTCAATGGAAACAGGAGGTCTATTTATAGCCTTGCGAAAAAATTTAATCATAACTTCTTCCTTGCCATAAACGAAATAGGGTTAGGGCAGCTCTTATATTAGATCTAATGATAATCTTGGGAAGCTAATTATAAACTGATAAAACGAACAATAATACCCCAAACATAATACAAGGAATAGTTGACAAATATACCACTGATTACATTTGCGAGGCTGAGTTTCAAAGTATCGTTTGATAATGTTATGTCAGACGACTAATGCCATAAATCAGTTCTCAACAAAAATACTAAATAAATAACTAGTAGAGGGATCAATAAAATGATTTATTCTGCTTTTGTTAAGGCCATTGAATGTATGGATTAACGTGTGCATTTGTAGGTTGAGATATGAAACCACCGGTTATTATTTTGAGTAGTTAAAATTAATTCTTGCTTCAATCCAGGAGCAGCAATGGTTACTGAACCATAGAAAGGAATGACTGCAAATGCGTAATCCCAAAAATTATATTGTAATTTTGAAAATTACTTATAGGTTAATCAATTTAATTCAGAATACCTTAAACATTTTTCAAGAATGACATCAGGCTCTTATGTCTGTTATATGACAGACGAAACTCAACCTATTTTCACCTGGACCGAAGGGATATGCCCAGTGGGTTGTGCCAACATAACCTTCCTAGTAATGTTAAAGACGGTAGGGCAATAAGAATCCAACATCTGTTGAGACTAGGCTAAGAATATATTCATCCAGCACTTTTACGCCAACTAAAGTTCGCCTTGACATTATTGTATTATTGGAATGATTCTAAATCAGTTATACTTTTGGCAGTTAATCTGCAAAAGAGCACCATCAGGAGAACTTCTGTAGTGACTGATTTTATTATAGGTACTTTTCAGGCACTTGCGATAGGCCTACAAAACTTCTAAACTTACCTTTAATTATCCGAAGTCAAAGGGCCGCATCTCCGGTCTTTGCATGTATTTCATTTGGAGTGAACACGCGCCGCCAATTTCGTCTATCCCGATTGACTGTGTGCTTGGGATGCATTGGGACTGTGACTCTACTAGCAATAGACTTCGCAAAAATAGCTACAAGCAAATGTGTTACGGAAGTGACGCTTGAAGAAGGGAAACTAGTCTGACACAGTTTCAAGATGCAGGAGGAGTAGAAGGAGAAGGAGGAGGAGGAAGAAGATGAGGAGGAGG